TATAATGCTAAGGATTTTCATCAGATTCTCTTGTGTTCTGTTTTTGCTTTTAATGTATCTGAGTTCTTCTTTGATAAAGGACTGAGTATATAACCTTCATTTGTCTATCATGAGTCATTGAGGTTGATGGGATTGAGGGGGACATTTTATCCCCAGTAACCAAAAGGACTGGGAATGAACGACACAGAGTTAATGCTCACCGTTATCTGCAGGACATAGAGGAGGAGTATGTGAGTATTCTCTGCTTTGATCTTCTTGGCTAGAAAACACTAGGATAAAATGATGGCAGTAATTAGTAAAATTGTGGGTATGATTGGTAGGGGAAGTGGAACTTCAGTCTCCACAGTGAGTCAAACTATCATCACATTGCTAATATGATAACAGCAATAACAAAAATTAACTTGATAATTACTCACATTTTGGGAGTAAGATACCCACAGTTGTCATCAAAACCATGCACAAGACTCCTAGGATGCCAGTTACCACTCTCCATGCTGTTGCTCCAGAGTCAGAAAAGAAAAGAAAAGAAAAGAGCAACAATGACTGAGTTGTTCCTTTCCAGGAAGTTAGTAAGCCTGAGATGAGACCGTGCCCTGCCACTCCCATGGGGCACCTCCCATCGTCCAGTCTTTCACTGGGTTTGTTAAGACCAACAATTTCTCAGTGGGACCAAGAGCCCCATTTTTCTCTTCCATCCTCAAATCTCCTCCCTGATTTGGGTGCTTCTTGATCTCCCAGTTCTCTCTTTTCTGTGTTGGGATCAAGGTTGCATCACTTGAACCATTCTCAACAGCATCTTACAACATCTCTTACCCTACAAGCTATTAACCCTGGGCAACCTTGGAATGTGTCCTCTATGCTATTAAATTGAAGGAGTAAGTATGATCAGAGGAAATAAAAATGTAATTCAAATGAAAAACATTCCATGAGAATAAAATATTGGTTTCTAAATTCCATGTGAGTTTCCTCAGTCTTTGATTAAGCAGTTAGTCAATACATTAGTCAGTTTCTTTATGGACGTCTCCTTGACTACCAGGAGATGCTCAAATACTCTGGCTTTTGCTGGGTAAATTATCAGTGAGAGACAGTTTTACTAAAAGTGGGAGTAATTAATAACAACCAAGTCATATAAAGAATAATAGCATGATGTGCAGGGGAGATGGCTCTGCAGGTGAAAGCACCTGCCCACAAGACTAGTAACCTGAGTGGATCCCTAGAGCCCTTGTAAAGAGCCAGTAGTGGCATGCATCTGTACTCCCAGCACTACAACATGGGAAGCTGAGATGGAAATGACCCAAAGTTCACAGGCCAGCTAGCCTGCAGTATGCTGAACAGTTAAAGACCTGACTTTGCACTCTGTGGCATTCTCTCCCTCCTTCCCCCCTCCTTCCTTCCCTCCTCTCTCTCTCTCTCTCTCTCTCTCTCTCTCTTCCCTCCCTCATCTCCATATACATAAAGCAGTTGTTGCTCCTTCATCTCTAAGGTTTGCATGGGACTGTATTAGGCCCAATTGAATGAAAGGTGGCTGCTCTAGCTTTCCTTCCATTATTGTAACAAAACACTCTGACCAGTACCAACCTGGGGAGGAAAGGGTTCATTCAGCTTACATCTCCCAGGCCACAATTCATCCCTGAGGGGGCTCAAGGTAGAAACTCAGGGCAGGAACCTGGAGGCAGGAGCTGAAGCACAGGCCATGGAGGAACTCTGCTTACTGGCTTGCTCGGCTGGCCCATGATCAACCTACTTTCTTACACAATACAGAACAACCTGCCCAGAGGTGGCACCATGTGCTGGATAGCTTTGGTGTCAACTTGACACACCTGGGTTGAGGGAGCCTCAATTGGGGAATTGTCTCTATTGGACTGGCCTGTGGCCATGTCTGAGGGGTATCTTCTTGATGAGTGATGTGGGAGGGCCCAGCCCACTGTGAGTGGTGCCACCCCTGGGCAGGTGGGCCTGTGTTGCATAAGAAAGCAGGCTGAGCAGGGGCCAAGGGAACAAGTCAGTAAGTGGCGTTCCTCCATGGCCTGTGCTCCAGCTCCTGCCTCCAGGTTCCTGCCCTGAGTTCCTACATTGGGCTCCCTGATGAACTGCGACCTGGGAGTTGTAGGCTGAATAAACCCTTTCCTCCCCAAGTTGGTATTGGTCAGAGTGTTTTGTCACAGCAATGGAGAAACAAACTAAGACACACCATGCACAATGGGGTCGGCCCTTTTGGGTGGGCCCTCCCATATCACTCAACAATCAGGAAAATGCCCAACAGACATAGCCATGGACCAGTCCAATGGAAGAAATTCAGTAATTGAGGCTCTTTCAACCCAGGTGTGTCAAGTTGACAGCTAAAGCTATCCAGCACAGTGGCATCCATGGGTTTTTGTTTGTTTGCTTACTTGTTTTTTGAGACAGTGGATCCCTGTAGCCCTAGCTGGCTTGGAACTTACTATGTAGACCAGTCTGGCCTTTAACTAAGGCATGTACCACCATGCCCAGCCAATAGTTATATTTAAAACAGCAGGGAAGAGAGTAAGGTATGGTGACTCACACCCATAATACCTTCATTTAAACACTATTTAGGATACTGAAGAAGGAGGATTGCTATATGTTCAAGGCCAATCTGGGCTACAGGGTGAGACCCTGTCTCATAAAAATGAAAAAAAAATTAGGAAATGAAATGAAGTTTAAAAATACCACCCAATTGTATATATAATTCCTATACACGATACAATTCTGCTATAATGTGGGTCTGATATATTTGAGAGAAAATAAACATAAAGTAGGTAAGAGGTAATTTGTTCTATGGTGGCATCCTGAAATAGCTAAGAGACGTTCTACAAAGATACATAATTAACGTATCATGACAGTTTTATAATGGTATTATTCCAGTTTCATTCTGTTACTGCTCTGACTAAAAGCACTTAGGGGAGAATGGGATTTATTCAGCTTACAATTCCAAGTCACACACCATCACAGCAGGGAAGGCACAGTGACAGGCGCTAGAAGCAGCTAGTCACATTCATAGGCAAGCCTCCTACTCAGCCAACTTTCAGTACTCTGTATCATCCAGGGCCCAAAGCCAGAAATGGCACCCACCTTCAGGCTGAGCATTTCGCATCAATTAAGGCAATCAAAATGATGATCACCCATAGACATACTCACAGGCTAACCTGTTCTAGCAAGTTCCTTAGTAAGACTGTCTTCTTGGGTGATTCGCAGTGTGTCAACTTGACATTTAAAAGTACCACCACAGGTATTGAGAAGGGGAAACTCGTAAAGCTGAGAGGAAAGATCTGTCATTTACAGCATGTACACAATACTGTACCTTTTCCGTTTCCTGTAACAAGCCATTTTCTGTGCTGGACATGTGATGTTCTGTGGAATTTCAATTCCACGTAGTTCACCTGTTCCTCACTTTCTATTGCAGGACTCTGCTCTGCCTTGACTATTCTTTGCTTCTGTTGAGATTTAGACAACTTTATATCTGCATAAGTAATCTCTTGTTTGTTTGCTATATATTTATTTTGTGACATTTTTCTGTTCTGAAAAGTCAGGGACGTCTTTAGCTCAGTCTTGACATCATGCCTCTCCTCTTCTCTAACTCTGCAACAAAAAGAGCTCATTGCATCACCAAACCAATGAATAATGCATTAGTTCTTCTGTGCACATGTTTAGATATGATAATGATTGAGTGGAATAAGAGGAAATGCAATTATTAGTTTCTCCATATTTGTAGTCTTTCTGTTTCAGATGAATCATTCTATTATCCCTTAAAAAGCTCAATACCTATCTTTACTCTCAGTCAGTTTTTAAAGGTTTGTACTTAGAAGTCTATGTACAATGAATAAAGTCTACAACACAGAGAGAATGGTTGAAATATCACTGTATTAATGAAAAATTAGATAATTAAATCAATTTATTTAAAATTGGGTGTCTATAAAATTTATTAACCAAATAATGTGCTTCTTCGCGGAGGGAGCAAATGGATTTGTTTCAGAAACTTTCTCAGTTCTACAGTTGGCTGTGATTATGTCCTAGTTAAGCAGCTGAAAGTTATTTAACACACACACACACACACACACAGACACACAGACACACACACACACACACACACACACACAGACACGACCATCTAAATTAATGAAACACCAAAAAACATACACACAAAACAATAACAACAACAAAAGGAAGAAAAAAGCATTCAGAAAACCCAATACAAACATGAAATCACAATTTAGAAATACATTCAAACAAATTAAAACACAAGAGCAATAAATAAGAAATATTTTAAGTATTTTGTAATTTTTTGAATGACCAAGTCATTGTATTGTTATTAATCAGTATTATTTAAACAAACTGTCAGCTGTTCATTTTTCATTTCATTAACTAAATAATTAAATACATACATATATATATCACATGTGTTCACATTATATAATATATAGTTTTGTTGTTGTCTTTGATTAAATAAATACAGTGGGAAACCAGAAGAAAATGCAATGATCATAATGAGAAATAACAGTAACTAATGGAGTTGTTGAATAACTTAGAGGGCAAAGTTAACTGATAACACTGGCAAATATTCTTGACATACACAAAAATAATGGAGTTGCAATATGCTGTGTTTGCAGGATTATGTGTAGTAGAGTTTGGAAGGTTTGAATTATAATCTACCTCATTGGAAATTAAAATATATGTTTAAAAGCTGTTTAAAATATTATTTTGAATATTTTAAAATAGCAAAAATAATTTGATATGCAAACTGTTTTCTATATCCTTGATTTATTTTAAAGAATAAAGTTTTGTTTTGTTTTGTTTTGGGTTTTTTTTTTTTTTGGTGTTTTTGAGACAGGGTCTCCCTTTAGCCCCAGCTGGCCTGGAACTCACTATGTAGACCAGGCTGGCCTTGAACTCACAGAGATCTGCCTGTCTCTGCCTCCTGAGTGTTGAGAACTAAATGCGTGCACCACCATACCGGGCTTCAAAAAATAAAGTTTTAAAGGAAGAGAACTGAAGTAAAATTTTAAAAATAAAGAATTTTTATACTATGTCAAATTATTTCCTGAAGATTCTGATGAATTTATATATCTACCAACACATAGGCAATAATTTTGAGGTTATGGTAGAATTTTAGGAATGTTGTATGTCAAATATTTGAGATAGTAAGTCAGGCTTTTCATGTGAGGAATTGTCCACTATTCTGAGATAAAATCAGAAGTGATAGGATTGGAGGGGAAACTAGTCAGAACAGCACATGGAGGAGGTTTACACTGGAACTTCACATCACGCACTCAACCTTCAGATAAACCAAAATGTTAAATGCAAATCAAGACACAATAGAAGGGCAAAAAGCAAGCACAGGTAAATTAATAATCCTGACTTTAGCCACTCAGAAGTGAGGGAAAAAAAGTGTGTTGTACTATAAATACATAATTTTACTGATAATGACAAGAATTTTACTATAAACAAACACATGGAAAGACTTTATTCACCATTAATCAAAGAACTACAAACAAAACTATCACTGACATGTTATTTCACTTTTAAAATAAATAAATATTTATGAACTGTATGAAATGGAACAAATTGGACAATAATTAAAGGAGAGTACCACTCACAAACTCATGTGGGTGAAGGATAAATTATATCATCCATCTTTCTGAAAAGAAATGTATAAGCAATTATACCAAACAAAATAATATATTCACCTCTTATCAAACATTTTAAAACTGTGAGAAAATTATGGCTTATTTCATCATTTAATTAGATTTTTACAAAAGCTAGGTGGTTGGCAAAATAAGGCAAAAAGATTCTACTATGAAAGAAAAATCAGACAAAAAGGATAACTAGATTCATACTTTGCACTATTTATAAAGTGAGGACATACTGTATATTTACAGAAACTTTGTTCTCTCCAAGCTAACGTTTAAATAATTTTTCAAGATGTGAGTTATAACCCAAGAATGACAGATATCACAGCTTGGAGCAAAGAGTAAAAGCCATTATACTCACCCACTAGAGGAACTGGTCTGAGTGCTTTAGGAAAGACGCCAGGGGATGAAACAATACGAAAGCTTTGCACGTGACTGGTGCCTTGGTGTCAAAATGCTCAGGAAAAATTCAGATTGCAAAACTTAAAAACGATGTGTATTTGTGAATTATTCTGAGAGAAATAAGGGAAAGAGGAAGTTGTCTCATTGCTGCAAATTTATAGCTCACCTCCCCCATCAGATATCTGCCAGGGAGGGAACATGTGGCTTCAGCATGTCACTGAGTTAACTTTAAAAGCATTTCATAAATCATAAGTCATGAATGAGAAAATGTTACAAGAAAAAGCTGTTAAATAAGAATAGCTTCATGTCAGATCTGAGGCCTTAAAGAAGAAGAAAAATGAACCAAACCCAGTGTTGAATTAGAGGGTACATGGAACTAAAGCTCCAGATAGTGCATAATGAGTAAGCTTATTACAATAAAAGTTATTTTGTGTCTTTTTATAGACATATTGTATAATTGTCAATGGAATATTGCACAGTATTCACATTTAATTTTTTATTGTAATAATGCATATTATGATATAATAATTTTGTAGTTTTTGAAATTAAATAAGGAATTTGAGTAAAGAAAAATGTGACAATCCCAGTTCAGTTTCTCAGGCATGTAATTCCAACTACTGAGGATGCTGAGGCAGTAGAATCACAGGTTCAAGGTTTGCCTGGACTACACAGTGAGCTCAAGACCAGACTGAGCATTAGTGACACTCTCTCAAATTTTTAAAATGTGAAAAAAGCTGGGACTGTAACTCAGTAGAGTGTTTGTCTAGCAGGTGTGAGACCTTCCATTTAATCCTCAGTAGCAGTAAAGAACCAAACACAAACAAACAAAAAAACCCCAAAACCAAAAAACAAACAACAAACAGAAACAATAAAACCAAACCAAAAACTTGAAAAAGAACCCAGATTATCAAGATTAACATACATTGGGATTCCTATCTTGCATTATTATTGATAGCAAGGAGACACACCACTGAATCTACTTCCTCCCCAAGCTATGACTGAACACATGCAGGGGCCTTAAGTTTCTGATTACAAAACAATGATTGCATCGTATTTCTCCTCCCTGGATTGCTTGGCGGCATGTGATAACTGAGTAGCAAGCTCCTCACTCTCTGCTACATAGGACTGTGATTTAAGTTTTTCCCCCTCCTCATAATGCCCATGTCCCCCAAGAATTCACTTGTTTCATAAGTGATGGTCACTGTCAACCTGCTTGTCCATCAGAGCCAGTGTCCAACCCTCCTCCATCTTGGCACTCATTTTCTTTGTCACCTCACTTCCAAATTCCTTCTGGTGCTTTCTGGCTCAGGCATCCACTCCCATCAGAATTTCCCTTGTCCTATGTTCAAACCTTGTCTCTCAAAAATGTCTTACCATTGTCTGTATGGTGCTTAGATTTTAGTTATCAGCATAATATGGTACAGCATGGTTTAAAATAAAAGTGACTGTGATCTTGATCACAACCTTTAAAACCTAAAATCTCCAAAGCATCCTGTTAGAGTAAGTGCTCCACAATTTACCCATCTTTGTTCCAGCCTGCCCGGTCATGTCTTTCCAATACGGAAATGCCGTGGTTTCGTCAATTCTCCAGCCCTGTCTCCATCTGGATTGTTCTCATCTGTCAGGCTGATTTCTTCACCTTTCTCCAGGTCCGGGCTGCTTTTAAGATACCATTCCCAAGTGCTTTTGAAAATTCTCCCAATCCTCCTGAACCTCTTTAGTCCCCACTATTTTAGAAAACCTGTAATGTTACGTGAAATTCTCTTTCTCAGGTAAGTGGCTAGGGCTTACCTTAGAACTCCAGTACTCTGCTCTCTGAATTCAGAGCAGGATTGGGTACAAAGAAAGACTGTGGTAGGAAAGGGAAAGAGAAAGGAAAAAAGAGAAGGGAAGGGAAAGAAAAGGGAAGGGAGGGGAGGGCAGGGGAGGGCAGGGGAGGAAGGGGACAAATAGGGAAAAGGGAAAACGCATGGGAAAGAAAGGGAAAGAAGCAGAGTCTCACTGTTGACCGCTGCAAAGCATGTGCTTCTAGACTGTTTCAGATTCAGTGTGATATGACTTCATGTCATCAACACAAACTCGTCTTGACACTGCCAGGGATCCTGCGGCAGTTTCTCATGTGGCTCACCATCCTCACATGCCTGGCTGGTTTCACTGACCAGCCTCTCAGTGTTCCACATCTTCCTTGCCCTCAAGAGAATATTACAGAGTACTAAGAGTCAGCAGGTTATCAGTGTGAAAGTCTCTAAGCCACCTCCGTGTGTGAATGCCTCTAACTTACCTCTGTCCTCTTAGAAAGAGGATTTTGCATAGCCTTAAGAATATGCATTCTGTTCTTGGTTAGAGAAGTCTATAGACAGGAATTAGATCTGACTGAAGGTCTTTTTCAATGTCCTTATTTTCTTTTGTCTGCTGGTCTGTCAATTACTGAATGAAATGTGTTGAGGTCCTTAAATGTAATAATAAATTCATTAATTCCTTCTTTGCAGTTTTATGAGTTTCTTTTACAAATTGGTACTTAGTTGTTAAGTATAGTCTACCTCATGCACA